CAGGGGGGGGGTGGGTCCCCTCCGGGGGGGGGGGGGGGGAGAGTGAGCTGTGTGTGTGGTTTGGTGCCGCCCAAACTGTTTAAGGGGGCTGCCCTTCTGCTGTGGAAAAACTTCTCAGGATTGTTCAGTCAGGTTAGCGCAACCGGCATCAGCTCAGGGGTACGTGTTTATCGCATCCCGCTTTGTATATTTCAGTGTGTCTCAAAATACGAGGCACTTACCCCTGGATTAATTTAGAGGGTGCATACAAAAGGCTAGTCTGGTGCCTACAAGATGTGGACACGAAGATGGGAGAGGCCTTGAGATCTCAAAAGGCCTGAGTGGAAAGGAATGCGCAGCTGGTTTTGTTCTGATTGTGGGGCTTGACTTGCAAGAGTTTAGCAAACCTTGAATTGATCATTGTTACTTCCCCAGGGGATAATTATTCCATGGCATGAGGATATCTTCCTTCTGGCCTGGAATACTCATTTTTTTTTCTTCCCTGTGTCTGTATTTTTTTTAATTAAAAGAAGACTCTCTTCATAACTTTGATAGTTCATGGACAAAAGATACTTCCATGGAGTTAAAAATTAAAAAGCTCTTTGTTTTGGTAAATCTTATCACCTTGGTTGCACTGGTTCTGTCTGGCTTTCCAGTGTGTGCTTTTTTTTTTTTTTTTTTTTTTTTTTTAAATCTCCCAGTGTTAGGGTGTTTTTTTTTTTTTTCATTATTATGGTAAGATTTGCTTAAGTACAGGCTCCATTTAGGGTCTAGCAATAGCTGTTCAGCTTATATTTAAAAAAATAGATTTTAGGTGGTTAATGATCTTACATTTTGAATGGGTTTGTTTCATTCCAGAGACAAAGCCAGTCGATTCCCCCAGTATCTTCCTCTTGAGTAAGCAACTGTTTACTCTGTAGCCTTGTCTCCAGCGTTCCCTGTAAGCTGATGCTTGGGTGGCTGTCTAACAGCGATGCAGGTGCCACCCAACTGATTAGCTGAGCACCCACGGCTGCTCAGAGTGGATAGCATGTGTTTCCATTTGGTGGTGCACATCTGCACATTCCTCAGTGAACATAACAAAATTTATTCCACCCAAGGATGGCAAAACTTGGAAGGAATCTAGCTTGTTTCCATTTACTAGGAAATCCAGGCAGCGATGCTGGCCCGATGGAAGTTTAACCATTAACAGGAACTTAAAGCATCATCTTAACGGTTAACTGAATAAACTCTTACATCCCTAATCTATGGTTAGTGTGTGAAGCAGGCTTTTAAGCTTCTATAGCAGTGGTTCTCAACCAAGGATATGTGTATCCCTGGAGGGTCTTTCAAGTACATCAACTCATCTAGATCTTTGCCTACCTTTGCTACAGACTATGTAAAAAGCGCTGAGTCAGTGCAAACAAAATCTCATAGGCAATGAGAAATTCAAATACAGTATTTATATTCCAATAGACTTATTTTATTTATAATATATGGAGATATATCATCTCATAGACCTGGAAGGGACCTTGAGAGGTCTGCGAGTCCAGTCCCTTGCCCTCACAGAGGTACCAAATACCATCCCTGACAGATTTGCCCCAGATCCCTAAATGACCCCCTCAAGGATTGAGCTCCCAACCCTGGGTTTGAGCAGGCCAATGCTCAAACCACTGAGCTAGCCCTCACCCTTATAATTATACTAAAAAATTTACCTGGTGTTGCTCAGGTCCTTAACTTAAAATTAATCATTGATTTTTTTAAAAATAAAATGAAAATGCACACGCTTCATTTAAATTGTTGCTCTGGGATGAGGAGAGAGATGATGGATTCAGTATGCAGGCTACACTGGTGAGAGAGGACAATCCCAGCCCTCTCTCATTGCAGCAGTTTGGGGCCGGATGAGAAGTGCCTCTCCATAGCTGCTGCATGTCCCCCAGCAGGGACAGTTCATCTGTCCCCTTTGCTCTACAGCTAGAGTGAGCAATTCAGCAAACTGTGCACTTCATTTTCCCTGATGAAGGGGGAATGTCCAGCAATGTCTCTGAGCAAATCAGGGGGGCTTCAGCCCCCTTCCTGCCTGCCATTTCTAAAGGGTGCATGGGGGATGGGAGGGCAGTCCCAGACAGGGGGAGGAGGGGGAAGGTGGAGTGCCCCCAGGCAGATCCTTTCATCTGCCTGGTGATTCTGTCTCTTTTCTCTTTGCTGTATGAGAAGCAATCCCATTTCAGGCACATCTTGTTTTCCTGGCATAACCAAACCCTGACCTGGCAGTACTAAAAATAGCATCGCGGGTGGCCTCTGCTCCAATCCTGACACGCAGTCCCGCCGCTGGGGCTGGAGTTGCAGGGGCTTCTGGGGCCGGACCCAAGTACCACTGCAGCCCCAGCTCCAGCCTCTGCGAACTGCTTTCCTCAAAGGCAGATGGTGAGGGAAGGGGCAGGGGGAGAACTAAGGGGGGAGGGGGAGGAGAGAAAGGGACTTGTGCTGAGGGGAGAGGAAGGGGCCAGGCAGGAGAAGAAAGGGGCAGGCATCAAAGGGCAGGGTAGAGGAGAGACACATGTGTGGGGCCAAGAGGAGACAATGAGGAAAAGGGGAGGGGAGGGGGAGAGATGATGTGAGTGGGAGAAGGGAGGGGACAGGGTGATGCTGGGAGAGGGGAGGGACAATGGGGGCAAGAGGGAGGAAGAGGAGAGCAGAGGAGTGGGTGCTGGGAGAAGATGGGGTTGAAAGGAACGGTGGGCATGAAGAAGGCAGGGGATGGAGCAAGTCATGTGTGAGGGTGCAGAGGGGTGTGAGGAGAACTGGGGCAGAGGATGGTGAGGGGGTGGGCCCTAGGGAGAAAGAGGGCAAGGAGGCAGGGGCAGTGAGGGAAGGGGGAGAAACCAGAAAGGTGCAGATGCCAGGGATTGTGGGGGGTGAAGCAGGAGGGAAGGGACAGGCGACAGAGGAGAGAGACAGGGCAGGTGTTAGGAGAGGGAATAGGAAGGGGTAGCTCCAGATGATCAGAGTGGGGCTAGAGGAGGAGTGGGTACACGGGGAAGAGAAGGATGGGTGTGGGGGTCAAGGAGGATGGGGAAGAGGAAGGGGCAGGACCTCAAAGGGCTGAGGGAAGTGAAAAGAGTAGGAGCCAGGATAGCAGAGGAGTGTGAGGGGTGGGGGGCAGCAGCAGGCACCAGGGGAGCAGATGGTATGAGGGGAGGGTGGGAGAAATGACAGCAGAGGGAAAAGGAAGAGGTTTATAAGATATTTATTAATAACGTGGATGCCACAGTGGTGCACACCTGAACAAATGCATATGAACTCAATACTGGTGCACAAAATAAAATTCATTCCACTAATGGGAGGAAAATCTTAGAGGGAACACTTCCCCCAGACTCTCTCCCGAGTTAATGCAATGCAAGTTGGGTTAATGCAATTGTGGAATAGTTGCATGAGGGTTTTGTGGGGAGCCAACACATCCCTGTTGGTAGGAGGAGTTCCTAGAGAGGTCACATGACACCCTTTACTTCTGGTCATGTGTCCATCTTGACTCTGGGAGTACTATCTCCAGGGGTGGGACTTCTTATGGCAGGGGCTGTGGTTAATGAGGGTCAGGGAGTGTGGCTAACATGTCCCTAATTTTGGTTTAGAAAATATGGTCGTCATGCCTATGGATCATGGTGGCTTAAATCACCCTGTCTCTCAATTTGCATTCCTGATCAACTCCAGAAGAGCTATCTTCTCCCTCCTCCCACACTCAGTTCTTGTGCTCTGATCTTGACTATCGAAACTTGTTCTGTAAGTTGGCTGGAGCCAGGTGGTAAAAATTTCGCAGCTAATATAGTTCAGTCACCATCTCTTGTCACCATTTGGTAAATATTTAAGTTTTTTTTGTATTGTGAACCATTGTGTACTTCCTGCTTGCTTTTCCTTACAACTTCCCTTTTAATTTAAGCAGTACGTTTTTACAGTAAACATTCCCAAAACCAAGTCAACATATGGTACTCATGAAGTGTTACAGAATAGCTCCATTTCTACAATACACCACCCTGGTAGGAGGTCATTTTTAAAGGTGTTTGCTTACACCTCCATCTAGGGATGTACTAGTGTAGTCAGTTAACTGATAAGCAAAAGTCCTCCCCTCCCCCCGGCCAGTAAAGTTTTTTAGCAGCTTGGCTCAGTTCCAGCTCACACAGGGTATGGGAACTCAGACATTCCCCCTCCCTGGACACAGGCTGCTGCCATCCCATACTGCTGCCTCTGTAACAGAGGCAGCAGCACAGGGCGACGGGGAGCAGGTTTTTAAACTGGCTCCCCTTGTGGACCAGTTCCTGCCTTGCATCCCGTGCTGATGCTTGATAGAAGCAGCAGTGCAAAGTGGCCCGGGGCTCCTCAGGAATGGGTCTGGAGCGCATTGGCTGCCGGCCCTCCTCCTGGCGACTGTTGAATAGTCGAATAACCAATAAGAATTCACTTGACTATTCACAGGGCTTGACAAATAATGCAGTCTATTCACCCGCGGCGAGTAGATTGCAATCCAGAAGAGCCGGGTTCGGGTGACCTGTGCATGCGCAAAACGATCTGCGTATGTGCAGAACGCCGGACAGCGCGGCTGGCGAGCCCTGACTATTCAGTTAACCGATATTTAACATCCTTACCTCCATCTATACTAGTTCAAACAATTTATCTTAGTGATTCAGGCTCACTCTTTTGTTTAACCTTGAGAATTTAAGATCTATCTGCAATGTTACCTAAAGACCTTGACAGTTGAAGCATAGTGTGAATGTAGAGTGCATTTTAGTCCATTAAGGAGAAATAAATGTTGCTAACACAATATAATTGTCTACTCTATAGACAACACCTTATTTAAAATATGAAGGCTTTTTTTTTTTGTTGCAACCATGAGGGCTAGCATCTTGATATCGTTGTGGGGAGGGCGTGGAGGACATGAGCACAAACATGAAGAAATTTAAAAGTAATCTTCAGTTATATCGTTCACCATAACCCCTTAGAGGCAATCTTCTTAAAATCATAGAAAGCCACAAAGACTAATGTATCATATAAATGATTTATTTGTATAAACGTTTTGAATGTTTATACGGCTCAAGTTTAGTACTGCATTAGTGTTAGGAGAGCTAGAAATATAAACCATTATTCCTGCTTTAGAGTATAACTGTGATGTAATCGAAAGGGCATAGATACCAATGTTGTTGTGCTGCTGTAATTACTGAATAACTTGGAAGCAGTAAATTAAGAATGCTATGATGAGTGTACCTACCTGATTACATAGTAATTACTCTGTAATGATGATAGTCATGTAATTACTCTGTAAAGAGACATTATTGATTTCGCTCCCCCCCCCCCCCCCAACTTGGCGTCGTTGATAAACTGGTAAATGTAACATATATCCAGTACTGAAAAGCTGATTAAGTATCCTTATTTATGTCTGGTTTTGTTGTTTTGTAGGAAGGAATGCAAGTTTGTTCATAATTTTCGGTCAGAGCATAACCTCCGTGTCTTAAAAACACATGGGCTTGAAAACTTAAATGATGATGAGTTGTGTCAGCTCCTGCTTCAGAATGATTCTTCGCTCTTACCTGAGGTGAGAACTACTGTAGCAATATACTACTCCCTTTACAGTTAGGAATATTGGGCGAGGGGGAGGGAAGGAATAGTAGTATTGGCTAAAACCAGGCATTGCATTGGCAAAAACTGTGGTGATGAGGGCAGTGCAGGTATGTAGGCCCTTATCCTGCAACACATGATTGCAATTAACTTTATTATTGAAAGTAATTTTCACTGAAGTAAAATCAAGCATGTGCAGAAGCGTTTGCAGGATCAGGGTCTGGCTTTGTACCCATTTTCTTCATAGCTCTAGTGCTGCACTTCATCATTGACCTGCATCACCCCTGCTGGTCTAACTTTATTTTTTTAATGTATATTGCAGACCAGATTGAAGTATATCAATAGAGCTTTATTGGAAATTGAGTCTGGGATATTTGGAGTGTTACAGTTTAAGACTGAAGAGCATTAGCAGAGCTAGATTGTAGAAGCTAGCTTTTCGTGAGTCCCAGGTTCATTCAGAATAAAACATTAAATCCCAAACACATGGGGCTAGTGCAGGGGTGGGCAATAACTTTTGACCAGGGGCCACTTCAGAATTTTTGAAGTGGCCCCAGGCCGCCAGAAGGAGTGGGGCCTCAGGTGAAAGTGGCGGAGTCAGGACACTTCCGTGCTTCCCCACCTACAGACCTGGATTGGTCTGTGCGTGGGGGAGCATGTGAAGTCTTTGCCCCTGCACCGCCCCAGAGAGAACCGCCAGCTGTTCAGAACAGATGGTGGTTCCCTCTAGGCACCCGTGCCTCTGTCGGCGGGAGGAGACTTCGCGTGCTCCCCCTGTCCCACTCCAAAGTCAGTCAGGGTCTGGGGAAGGGGGAGCACGCGAAGTCTCTCGCTCTCTGCCCCTGCCCTGAAAGGGAGCACCGTCCTTAGTACCAGCTGAGCAGCAACTGGTGGTTGACTTTAAGTGCCGAGCCCCTTGCAGGGCGGGAGGAGACTTTGCATGCTCCCCCTCCCCCTAAGCCTTAATTGGCATGGGAGCCGGGAGGGGGGGGGGAAAGGTGCGCGAAGTCTCCTCCTGGCCTGCCAGGAATGCATGGTGCTTCTAAGCACCGCAAACTCCTTGCAGGGCGAGAGAAGAATTTGCGCGTGCTTCTCCCCCACCCTCAGGCCCTGTTTGGCCTGGAGGCAGGAAGGAGCGCACAAAGTCTCTCGCTTCCTGCCCTCTAGGGTTGACTAAGCGCCATGTGCTCCCCTGTCCCTAAGCCCCGATGGATCTGCGGGCCGGGGAGTGGCAGTGCCTCTGCAGGCCAGATCAACCTGCTTGGCTGGCCGGATCCGCCCCACGGAGGCACTTTTGCCTACCCTGGGCTAGTGGCTTTCAAGTAACTAGACATGCAAATTTTGCAGCTTTTGAATCTTTTAATAATGTCCTAATGTATTTATATAATATCTTTATTGACTTTCTATAAACCTTTCTGGTCTTCATTATTTACTTTTCCATAGTATAGATTGGTAGTACTGGGTGTTACCTGTTTAGAAGGATTAACAAAAGAAAAACTCAAATGCTCTCAACTTGCATGACTAGACTCTACAAGGAAATTTCAAAATCTATCTTCTTAAAACACTAAAGATGAGTCATAAAGTACAGCAAAACTAGCAACTTAGAGTTGAGGTTCCTACAGCACCATCAACTCAACCATACCAAATTCATGCAAGTTAGAGTAAAATTCCATTTACTGTCACCAAAGTGGGCCTGAATGTGTTTGATGCAGATGTCTGGGTCTGCCCAAAAGACCATTCAGTACCAAATGTGCCAAACCTACAGCCTGTGGATGTATATAGGGTTACCAAATGGTTTAAAAAAAATACTGGACACACTTGATCTCAGATGGGAGAGCGGGGGGGACCGGCCAGAGGGAAGCAGGGCTGGCCAGAAGAGGGTCGGGGGGAGTGGGGCTGGCCGAGGTGGATCAGGCCATCTGGGAGCAGGGCTGGCCCAGGCGCACACAGATCCCGGGGTGCTGCCCATTCCGCGCATGACCCCGGCGGGGCACATGGGTGAGTCCGGTCCTGGGGATTCCATCCCACCCTGGCCCTGTCCCCCTCTCCTCCTCCTCTCCTCTCTACTGTATAGTTGCGTACTGCCTGGCTGGTAGACGTGCTCATGCGGTGTGAGCGTGTCTACCAGCCAGGCAGTATGCAATTACATACTGATACTCTTGATGATAATAAAAACTTAATTAGAAAATATCGGACATTTATATGTCTGGTATCTTCTCAATTTGTTTCCTGGACAGAAAGCTCAAATACTGGACTGTCCAGTTAAAAACCAGACACCTGGCAACCCTAGCTGTACATAGCCCAGCAGAGCGTTTGAAAGGCCCACAGCGTGCTTCAACATGATCTACTAATACCTGATTCATTAGCGTTTTTTCATGTTTACGTCATTTTAGTGTATAAATAAGCAATCTAAATACATGCCAAACAAGCTAAACTTAAAATATAAATCATTGCAGGTGACTTTAAATCTTATTAAAATATGTAGAGTCTGTTTTGTGCACGAGATATTATGTTTAGGTTTACATGGCTCTCCTGTATAATAATTTGGGCACTGTTCTAAGCATTAGCAGTGGTGCTGCAAAACCCTTACCAATTTCTTCATGGCTGCTGTTTTTGTTTTGAGCGTGCATGACAGGGTGAGGAACCTCAGGGCTGAGGGTCCCGGTTTGGCTTCTTTTTTTTTTGCTTCTCACTTGTGTGCGGCCCCCAACTGATTTTTCTGTGGGTCGGTGACCCCTGGCCCAAAAAAGATTCCCCACCCCTGCTGCATGAAGAAGAAAGTGGTTAAAACTACATTTGTTTTGGTTTTTTTCCCCCCTCTTTCCCAGGTATGCATGCACTATAACAAAGGTGATGGACCCTATGGGTCTTGTACCTTCAAGAAGATCTGCACCAAACTTCATCTCTGCCAGTACTTCTTGCAGGGAGAGTGCAGATTTGGCAGCAACTGCAAGCGATCACATGACATTTTAAATCTGGAATGCTATGAAAAACTGGAGAGGCGGGGAATGAGCCCGGACCTGATTGCTAAACTGCCTTCTATCTTCAGGAATATGTATGACATCAAAAATCGCACCTCTTCACTGTGCAAAGGTAAAACATTTTACCTTTTTCAGATGATTAAGAAAGGAGGTGACTTAGCGAGCATAACATGAGTACAGATCTCTGCTAAATAAGCAGGGCTTGACAAACGGCGCAAAATCACTCGCCAGCCCCGTACTGCGCATGCGCAAGACCCACATTGCGCACGCGCGTGCCGCCGGTGAACGGGGCGCGCTGCTGAAATCTACTCGCCATGGGTGAGCAGATTCTATAGTTTGTCGAGCCCTGTAAATAAAGGTAACTGAAATTGAGACTTGACTCTAGTTCTTATTAGTGACCTTTGCTCCCAGGACACTGGGCAGGGCTGCCAATTTTGGTTGGATGTATTCCTAGAAGGTTTTATCACATGACCTAATCTTAAATTCCTGGAGACATCAAGATAATCCTGGAGGGCTGGCAACCCTACCACCATGGGAAGACCCTTGTCTCTTTTTATAAGCATCCCACTAGTCAATAATTGAGGCAGAGAGAGGTTTCCAAAGAATAAAACAATTGTGATGCAAGAGCCTTGATCCTAGGGCAGAATCATAGAAGAGTAGAATTGGAAGAGGCCTCAGGAGGTCACCTAGTCCAACTCGCTTCAAAGCAGGACCAACTAATTAATCTGTCAAGGATTTGTCAAGCCAGGCCTTAAGTAGAATGATCTCCAGGAAATTAGGACCATCACAAACTTCACCAACTTTCCACTCCAAGTGCAAAGTGTATTTCTCTGACTTTTCCTTCTCTAACATAACCACAGTGTGACAGATCTATATAACTCTATTAAAACAAAAAAGACACACAGTGCCAAAACAAGATACTCTGTTGCATGTGCTTCCAGGCCCATATGCAGGACGGTGCAAAGGATGCAAACACGCCTCCTCATGGTCCTTCGTGGTCTGCCATGGGGTCGATTTTGGCTGGTCTGGGAAAAGCAGAGGTGGCATGCTGCCATTCTCCTTCCTGCATGCTCTGGCTGGCTGGGGGAAAGCACAGGCAGTGTGCTCCCATCTTCCTTCCCCTGAGCTTTGGCTGGCTGGGGGAAAGCAGAGGCAACACGCTGCCAGCCTCCTTCTCCCATGCTCTGGCCAGCCAGGGGAAGCCTGGGACCAATTTCTCCCCTTCCTCCCCCAGGAGAGAGGCTCTGGGTGGGGCTCAGCCGTGGGGGAGGAAGGGGAGCGCCCACAGCTCACATCCCCAACAGAAATTCCTGTGTACGGGCCTAGCTTCCCTCTCTGGGGAGAGGGTGAGAGATCAAACAACATGTGGCAGATGTGCAGTCACATTGCTTAATGCTTTATGGATGGTGCTCAGATACTGTGGTGATAAGTGTGATATTAAAGACCTCTATAAAATAGAAGTGTAGGACTGGAAATAGGCAGAATGGGATTCTTTATTATAGTTTTGGTGGAAGTTGTTTAGCAGAGAGAACAGTGGGCTATGTCTAGACTGGCATGATTTTCCGCAAATGCTTTTAACGGAAAAGTTTTTCCGTTAAAAACATTTGCGGAAAAGAGCATCTAGATTGGCACAGACGCTTTTGCGCAAAAGCACTTTTTGTGGAAAAGCATTCATGTCAATCTGGACACGGTTTTGCGCAAGAAAGCCCCGATCGCCATTTTCGCCATCGTGGCTTTTTTGTACAAAACAGTTTTTAGCTGTCTACATTGGCCCTCTTGCTCAAATACATTAAGAGGGCTTTTTCCCGAACAGGAGCAGCATAGTATTTGCGCAAGAACACTGACAATCTTACATTAGATCGTCAGCGTTCTTGCGCAAATTCAAGCTGCCAGTGTAGACAGCTGGCAAGTTTTTCTAACTTGCCAGTCTAGACGCAGCCACTGAGAGAAGGCACTCTTTTTGGTGATATTTTAAATACTTCTGCACCTTTCTTTATTCAGGATGACTAGCATGAGAAGCTGTAGAAAATGATATAGTTTCAATGTTTTTGATTCCTTTTCCACTTTAATTTAGCATAGTTTAAAAATGTATGAAAGGACTGCAGAATAGAAAAACAAAATTTATGCTTGCCCCCTGACCACCCAGCTCTCTTGTGTGCCTCTGGAACCATAAATTGTAGACTGTGTTTAAAAAAAAAAAAAAGCTGGATGAATACATGTCTGTGATACACACATAACTTGTGTGCTTTGAAACAGTAGGACTGTTATTCTATAGCACTAGTTGGGATGATAAAAATATCTCTTTCTTAGTAAGTCAAGCAAGTCTCACTCATGATATTCTGTTACTGGTCTGACTTTGGTGGTGGGAGTAGGAGGCAAACATCCAAGTTTTAGTTTCCAGATGTGTCATTGACTCTGGGTAATCTTGATCAAGTAATTTAATATTGCCCTGCCTTCATGACTGTGTCTCTTTTGATTCTATTCTTGTATTGTTACAATACACTTAAAAACTCAATTCCGGAAACTAAAATAGAGACCCAGAAGTCAAATTCAGAGTGATGAGTAGGATCCTACCAAATTCATGGTCCATTTTGGTCAATTTTACAGTCATAGGATTTTTAAAAATGGTAAGTTTCGTGATTTCAGAGATTTATATTCATGTTGCAATTGTAGGGGTCCTGACCCCAAAATGAGTTGTGGGTGGTTGTGGCACTGCTACCCTTCTGTGCCACCGTTGGTGACGTTACTGCCTTTAGACCTGGGGAGTGGTAGCCTTTGGCTAAGAGTCCAGCTTTGAAGGCAGAGCTACCACCCACAGCTGCACAGGAGTAAGGATGGCACGGTATGCTATTGCCACCCTTATTTCTGCGCTGCTGCCTGTGGAGCTGGACCCTTAGTTAGCAGCTGCAACTCTCCAGGTGCCCAGTACTGGAAGCAGCAGTACAAAAGTAAGGGCAACGTGGTATTCTGTGCTGCCTTCAGAGCTGGGCACCTGGGCAATATAACAACCCCTGCTCTCCAGTTGCCCAGCACTGAAGGCAATACAGAACTAAGGGAGGCAATACTGTGACCCAAAATAACCTTGTGATGCCCATGCAACTCCCTTTTGGGTCAGGACCCCCAATTTGAGAAGTGCTGGTCTTCCCCATGAAATCTGTATACAAGTTGGACCTCTCTGGTCTAGCACCCTCAGCACTTGACTGGTCCCAGATGAGGGATTTTTCCAGACCAAGCGAGGTCATTTGAGGCCCCCTGCTATTGGCCTCCCCCCACCAGGATTCCTGGCTCCCCCTGTAGCCCAGCTAAATCACGTGCCACCTTGTGCTGGCTCCCTGTCCCCCCACCATCCTGCAGCCCAGCTCAGCTGCGAGCCAGCTCCCTGCAGCACACTGAGACACTCTGATCCTGAAACATCCGTGGTCCAGCCTGACCACGGATGTTTCAGGATCAGAGAATCCTGGATTTTAGAGGTGCAACCTGTAGTATAGGGTAAAAGCACACACAAGTCCAGATTTCACAGGAGAACACTAGTTTTCATGGACTGTGACTCATGTTGCATGGCTGTGAATTTGGTAGGGCCCTAGTGATGGGTACAGCTAAGATTTAGTTACAGGTATTTTTGGTTAAAGTAATGGATAATACATAAAAATTCACCTCCTTGGACCCATCTCTGACTTTTACCAAAATACCCATGACTAAATCTCTATTTCTAGGGCTCCACTGCTCTGGGCCCTTCAGTGGCTGCTCCCAGGGATGACTCCGGAGCGTCTCCAGGTACCCCTGGGACCATTGCTGTTGGGCACTCCCTTGAGCTAGCCACACCAGCTACCTGAGCATCATTGGCCCTGGGGCAGCCACCGGGACTGCTGCTCAGGTGCTCCTCAGGGCCACCTTAGCAGGAGCCACACTGGCTGATGCTGGGACAGCCCTCAGGACCACTGCTCAGACACTTGCTGTGGTCAGCACCCAGGACCACTGCTGCACGATCCCTGGAGCCAGCTGCCCAGGTGACCCTGAAGTCAGCCACAACAGCCACTGCAGAAGTTATGAGAGTAGCAGAAAATCATAGCATCTATGATTTCTGCAACCTCCATGAAAGACTTGCTGCCTTAGTTATGAATATTTCAGTTATGTCTGTAAGGGAATCCTTATGTTAGGTGTCATTTACATGCTAAGAATCTAAAAATGTATATTGGACCAAATTAGGGACTGTCGGTAATACACAAGAAAAAAGAGCCTTATGTAATTGGACTAATGGCCGTTACAAAACGACAAAGGCTTTAGTTTGTTACGGAGCACAGTTAAAGCCTCATCTATGCTATAAAATTGAAGTATGCTATGACTTTGGTTATGTTGTAACTGTATGCCCAAATTTAATTTTGTAAAGGACAGTTTTGTTTCTCCCTTTGTAGAGAGGAGAGGCAGTCTTAGTCAGATATCCTTGAATACAAATAATAATGAAGAATTGGAAGAGATCTGCTTGTATTTCATCAGGAAAAGCTGTAGCTTTCAAGGTAAGTAATCCTGATACAAGCCAGTTGCATTAATTTTTCTTTATTTTAATGTGTGTGTTTTGTTTAGTCATCAGATATTCCTATGGTATATCCTGTATAATAATGGCTGGCAGCTAGTCTTCCCTTCTTAATATCTTTTTTTCTTTCTTTCTTCCCATCATCCTTAGTTTGTACACTTTTCCCAAAAGGCCATTGTTGCTATTTTTTTCCTCCATCTACAAAGGCTGAAAGAGTGCTGCTCCATAAATTAGTGACCCTTCTTCTTTTACTATTTATACAGCCTTCATCTTGTTTCTGATACCTGTTTCTCCCCCTGCCCTCTCCCCATCTGCCTCATTTATGCTTAGCACAGGAAGAAGCTCTGAGAACGTCAGTTTGGGTAGTCCCATATTGATTCTCTTTCCAGATCTCTAATGTTACCCTTGATTCTCTTTGTTACTGTTACAACATGGAGTCGATGTGAAAGTTCCTCTACCTTCTGCCATCCGCCCTTTCTTTTGTTGTATTGCTTGTTCTGGTAACCATAAAACAACATATAGGACTTCTGATCACAGATGGTGTTGGCAACCATCTTAATTTATTATTAGACTTTAGATTTAGTAGTAATCGACCTGTACCTGACAGTTCTGAAGGCCCTTTAGTATGAAGTGTTATGCTTATAGAAGCACATGGAATTTTTTTTTCAAAATACTCTGCATTTTTTTAATTAAAAATACAATGTAGGCATTAAAATTGGCATATGGCTTCCCACCCATCCCCAATCTGGATCATATAGTTACCAGTTTGTAGCATTGCCTAGACAGCTTCAGTGGCCAGCTGCACACGAGCATCGGGCAGCTGGGGTTTTTGTCAAACATGTTCAAAGCTTTAATGTGTGGGCTTTTTTGGAATGAACCCAGAGTTCCATGGTAATACATGATTCTTTTATTGTAATCAGCTCCCCTTCAACTCTGTGGGGCCTTGCTGTGTCACGCTGGAGTTGTTCATACAAAGTAGTTAAGGTTGCCCCCAAAGAGCATTATTTTGGATTGTTGCAGCATAGTTATTTTTTTTTATTTTGCTTTTCTGGTTTTTTATTTTGGGGGAATATATGCCTTTACTTTAGGTTAATCAATCTGTACTTGTTGAGTTATCCTAAATACCCTGATATTCGGTTGGTGCTTTTTTGAATGTTCATTTTTTTTCTTGGTTATATGGAATATTTGACACCTTTATTTTTTATTTGTCAGCATATCTTATGTTTCTTTACTTATACACAGAACAGTAAATAATTTCACAAGCAAGCCTTTTTGCAAAGCAAAGGTTTCTTATAGAACGAACAGAGTTAAACAAAAGCTAAACAAATATTTAGTAAATCAATTTTCTCTGTTAGGCTTTTGGGCCTACATAGTCTCTCTTTTTTTATTTTTATTTTTTAAACTACTGCTCAAGAAGATTGATAGGTAACACATGATACATCTATAATTCAGAAAAGATGCTAGAGGAGATGTATGGAATTACAGGCTAATAAAGCTTACATTTGTACTTGACAACTTGGTTGAAATGATGGTTTAAGAATAGATGACTAAAACACCTGGTGAATCATTATATGATAGTATGTTTTCTGCAAAGGAAAATGGTATTTTACTAATCTAGTAGAATTCTTTCAACATTTCAAAAACTGTATCCACTGGCAGGCAATTTTTTAAATGTTCAAGAGCCTTTGACAAGGTCCTTCACAAAATACTAATAACGAATCAAAATCGTCATGTGGTGAGAGGCAAAGTATTGCTATGGATTAAAAACTGGCTAGGAATTAGAAAACAGAGTAGGATTAAATAGTCACCTTTAGCTTTCATCCTTGCAAACAGTGAGATGCCTCAAAGCTATGTATTGGGTATGGAATTTAATGTATTTATGAAGGCTTTGGGAAAAGAGAGCAGAGTAGTAAAATTAATATGACACAAGTTGTTTAGGCCCGGTTTACACTACTTGATTAGGTCAACATAAGCTACCTTGCTTCAACCTGGGATAAATTTGGCTCCTGTTGATGTAAGTGCCCCTCTATGCTGATTTAGTACGACTTCCCAAGTGACGTATAGTCACAGTCAATGTAATTTGCTCAGTCTCAGTCTAAACATTGTGTTTCTTATGTTGACCATGCTCACCACAGATACAAGGAGCCAAGTATGCACACACACAAGCAATATAATAACGGCAGTGGCTGTATGCTGGTGCAAATAAGGTCAACCTAATTTTGTTGTGTAGACATGGGTTTAGATTAGTCAAGACCAGGAGGGACTGAGGAACTTCAGAGAGATTGAACTAATGGTCAGTGGGCAATGAGGTGGCAAAAAAGTACTGTGTTGATAAAGTTAACGCATGGTGGAGGGAAATCTTTTAAACTACTAGTGTATTTTTCAAGGTTCTAAATCAACTGTATTCACTCCAGGTAGGAAACTGGGTGCCAGTGTAGAGAACTCAATGAAGATCTCTGGCTGATGCCCAGCTAAAGATAAAACGAACAAGGTTAGACTGGAATGGAGAATAACCTGGGGAACATTATAATGCCTTATATCAATTGTGTGGCCTCACCTGGAATACTGTGTATCGTACTGGCCACCCCATCTTAAAAAATGGTACAGCAGAGTCAAAGGAGTTTCTGAGCAAGGAAATGAGACTGATGAGGGCTACAGATGTAATAGTATAGTTGATTAACCGATTAATTGATAAGCAAAAGCTTATAGGTTAATGCTATACACTACACGCATTTTTCCCCTCTCCTGCCCCCGCAGTAAATTTTTTACCAGGCTGGCTAGCAGCCTGACTCAGACTCAGCTTGTGCCAGGTACAAGACCTACCCCCATTGCGGCTCTGCATTTAATATGTATTAGGAGCCAGGCAGGCAGGCAGGCAGTCCAGCTCATGCTGGGTCTGGGAACTCAGGCCCCTCCATCCTGGGCAGGGGCTGCTGCCAACCTATGCTGCTGCCTCTGATCAGAGGCAGCAGTGTGGTGTGACAGGCAGCTGGTCCACGAGGGAATCTGCTTTTTAAACTGACTCCCCTGGTGGACCAATTCCCTCCTGGCACCCCACACTGCTGCCTCTGATAAAGAGGCAGTTGCACGGGCAGCAGGGGGCTCCCTAGGAGTGGGGCTGGAGCCCACTGGCTGCTGGCCCCACCCCCGGGGACTATGGAATAGTCGACTAACCAATAAGAATTCAAGAGATGAATCGACTATTCAATTAAGAATTTAAAAGGAAGAGCTGCAGTGGGGTTAGCTTCCAGGTCCGGGCGCTAACTCTGCTGTGGCTCCCCTGTTTATTGACTAGTCGATGGAAAAATCATTTATCACTGCTTATCAACTAGTTGATTAGTTGAATAAACTATATTTAACTTCCCTACCTCCAACTGGTCAGGGTGGAGTAGCTGTTGCTGCTATCTGTGAATGTTACATCTCTTCTTCTATTCCTTGTTGCCATGTTCTCCTTTCATCCTTTCCCTTGCTCCTGGTGTCACCCTACTGCCTCTCTGCTGATGGTGCCTACTTTCATAATGTGCGCAGTGTGGTTTCTTTGATTTCAGCTGCTGTTCAAGGTCCTCTGTCTTTTGCTGTTGAATGAAAAACAGTTTGAACTTTATGCATACAGACTTTATTTTGTCTTCACTTTTTCTGGTTGAAGGGTTTCATGTTAGCTCAGCCGCTGTGCGTATCTCTACTTCTTAGTATGAGCTCTGTCTCTGTCACAAAATGCCTATACTGTTAAGAGGAAGAGGGGTAGCAGTCTGGCTATCCTGCAGTGGTTTGAGTAGAGTGTGGTCTGAGGCTGACAGTTAAGCAGGGCACAAACGAGTTGTGAGTTCTGTAGATTTCATCAATCAGTTATTAAGCGTGACTGTCTTACCCACTAAAACGTGGAGTCCCAGACAGTTGCCTTGAGTACTCCTATCTATCTTGCCATCCAGGTGAATTTGCTTTCTGGTAGATAGTCCCTTACACCAAAAATCACAATGTTGAGGTTCCTTCCAGTTTGAAAGGCTTACTCCAGATCAGAGTCCTCTTAGAACTTAAACCAGTGACACTTGTCGCTAATTATCTAATAATTTACCTAAAAAACGTATTTAACTAGGAAAAGTAAATAAAAGAATAATCTACTAGGTTAATAAAGCAGGTAAACATAAGTACACAAATGAATTACAATCTTAGTTTCCAAAGATGATAGAAACTGCTTGTAATATTTAAGCTCGGTATGTCATTTAGGGCTAACCCAGCCCAAGCAGCTGGGGATCATTTGCTTATGCTTAGAAATCTTGCCCTCCTAAAACCCAAACAGTATAAAGATACCATTACGTTATAATATCTGTACCTCCTGTTATAAGTGAGATCAATATATACAGCAACTTACAATCATTTCCTAAAAGTCTACACAGTTTTTAAATCTAATATTTATTTTAAGAACACTAACACAAATTCCATCGTGATATTTGTCTGTGTTCAGTTGACAGCGAGGGACCTTGGCAAGCTTTGGCTCCTGGTCTGCCATCTTATCAGTGGTAAAGAAGACTGGACTGTTTGAACAGCATCAGCTTGGGGAGTAATAGATATTAGTTCTAGGAATCTAACTGGAGGTCTCATTGGCTTTAATAAGGTCACTAGTATAATCTGTTCAGTTTAAAAAAAATATTCCATTGTGGGGATTTAAGTTCATAATACACAAAGGACCATATAACTTTAAAGCAAACACACAAACCCATTGCCATAATGATATCCTTTATAGTAGCCTTCAATACAAGCAAACATTGTAGTGGGGCTAGAGAAATTAAACAATAAGATCAGAGGAGAGATTCCTTCTTGGTAACAACTGAATTGCTTTGGTTGGCCAGTGTATGAAAGCTGTACCTATTCAGTGGGTAGACACTTTTTAGTGCTGTGTACCTGGCATTTTCACAAGCATAGAAGTCCAATACAGATACCCCAGAAAAATCATGTGTTAAACCATAGAACTAACATGGCTTCATTTTTTTTATTTTTTTTTAAGATAAGTGTATCAGAATTCATTTTCATTTGCCATATAGATGGCAGGTCTTGGAAGGTGCCCTGTGGAAGGACTTGAAGGATATGGAGAAAATTGAAAAGGCATACTGTGAACCCAGTAATACCAGGTATAAACTGTTAGTAATATACTAATGCTTTCCCTCTGAGTGTAAAATATTGAGCTAGATTCTTAGGTGGTATAAATTGGCACAGCTCCATTAAAGCCAGTGCCTAAACTGCTTCATTTTATTTAGTGAACATAATGGGATTTGGAGGATCTATATCAGCTAATGGATCTGGCCCCCTGGTTGTTAATTGTAGACTGGGATCCATCTTGGGTCTACTATATTCCAGATAACTAATTTACTAGCTTAGGTGTCTTTTGTTTTGCACTATTTTACAAATTGATTATTTACAATGGAGATGGTGGGAAAACTTTTGATTGCAAAGAATTTAGACTAAAATATTCTTGAAAATCTGTCCTGTTTTGACTAGCTCTGGTTCTGATTCAGCCCTGCCTTTGACGAGTGCTATTTCAATATGGAGTCCTTACAAGTAGGTGATGTGGGAGAAGTAGGGGGAGGAGGAGGAAGAGAGAGAGAGCACTGAGGGGCATAGGTAGCAATTGGGAAGGTGGGAATAACTTAAGAAAGCTTTGGAATTGCTATGGTAGTTCAAAGAAAATATTGGAGGAGACTCATACCAATATGCGGCATATTGCACTGGACTGTGTATATGGGCCACTTACTTAAAAAGGATCTCATGTTCTATCTATTGAGTTTGTAGTGGTCTTGGCTTCTAATGGCTCATGGCCTGGAAAAATGACAGCAGCACTGTTGCTGCTAACACCCAAGAGATTCTCTTGCATCTGTACTGATAATGAGCTTTTGGATTGAAGCTTGGTTTCCCAGGTTGCATATCTATGGTTAGTGGCCACTGAACACTGGAAATTGTAAAGAGGTGATTGGAGCAGCCAACATACAGCTTTGTTGATTAACTCCTTCTTATGAACCAGCATAAGCTATTCAAAGCCTGGTTTAAGCTACAAGTAAAAATGAGTTTTGAGGGTGTGTCACAAAAATAATTGTGTGATTAACAATCTTCTGTTCCTGCTTTAGAGAGATCAAAAGCCAAGAGGCATTCCCCATCAGAATTTAAGGAATTAGCAGAAGTGTATGTGACATTTACACATGCCTGTTATGTCTGACTCAAGAACCACAGTGGTTGTGACTGTGATCTCTTAAGTTATGATTTCACATAGATTTACAGTAGTATGTCTTGAACTTTGGCACCATGTATAATATAAAATAATATACATGTCTGAGTGGTGGGAAGAGTGAATAGTGATTTGTCATAGGAATCATAACTTTTCACTCCACCCTTGGGGACACTTGCATTACTTTGATATTAGGTATAATATTTGGCATTGTTTTTATGGATATCTGACTCAGAAGTGTTTCGTTTGTATGTTTTTAAACTCTTTGGCCCTCTCTCTCAGATTTTCATTCAGCAGTGCTGGCAGTGGCTTGCAGACTGTATCTTTTCAGAACATGACATGTGGCTCCACCAAAGTTAGACGCCTCTCCACAGCATCATCCGTGACCAAACCCCCTCACTTCATTCTTACAACAGATTGGCTCTGGTACTGGAAGGACGAATATGGTTTGTGGCGTGAATATGGAACGGAAGTAAGTGTGTAGATGGAAAGGCAGCTCCCCAATCTGTGAAAACTACTGGAAGCTACATGGGCAATCTCTTTTATTTTAATAATCTGTCAATCAAATTTGGACTCGGGATTAGTAATGGGATATGGAGACTTTCACGTTTAGGTTTAGAGGCTCAAATGCAGGAGCAGTCAGTAATGACTGACAGTTTTATTGGTGACTGACATCTGCTCAATGCGTTGTCTGAAATAGGTGATAGGTATTTCCACCTGTATTCATTGCTTGAAATTTAACCACCTCCTTTCTTCAGTGTTTCTCAATCTTTCAGAATCAGAGGCACCTTCTTCCCTTCTCATCTCCATCTCAGGAGTTGGGAAAGGTTTCTCTGTCTTCTTGGTGAAGGATGGGTCCTTATTTTAAAGGCCAGGAGCACACAGGCCTGTACAGGCAACAGATGCCATTGCATAAATACTTTGCACTTTCTCATTTTAAGAAGGTTAAGAAAAATCTTCCTTCTTTGTTCTGACCTGGCAGGATGATGATCATTCTGCTTCCACTGTATGCAGCAGTGACCTGGAAAATGCTTATCTAGCAAAAGGGTCTCCAACATTGCAATTCAAAGCTGGGAGACATGAATATGAACTCAACTTTAATGGTATGTAAGGCTTTTTCTTCCTCCTTTCATGTATGTTGTGTAAATTATGATACTAAAGGAGAAGTTAAGATATTATTCGCTTTTATGAGAATACTAGCCAATTAGCCCATCATAAGATGGGATTTTCAGGTCTCCTCCACATCGGTTTTCTCTCCTGAGCCTCCGGTCTCTCGCTCCATCTCTCTCTCCTCCTCCTCCTGTCTCCCCCTCTCTCTCAGCTCTCCTCCCCCTCCTGCCTCTCACTCGGGAGACCGTGGAGCCCAAATGGGGAGTGCGGCGCCCAAATAACCGTGCTGCATGGGGTGTGTGGAGCCCAAAGGTTGCTTGCACCACTTGTTCCCACGCTGCGGCCTGGCCGAGTGGTGTAGAAGTCAGTCGAGCGCCATGGCAGGAGGTGAAGGGGGGCGGGGCGGTGACGTTCATGGCCAGGGGGCAGGGCCTGGAGCCGCTGTCATGCCGCATGTCACTGCCCCGTACCGCTTTGCCTCCTGCCGTGGCGTTCGACTGACTTCTGCGCCATTCAGCCAGGCCGCTGCAGGGGAGCAAGTGGTGGAAGCTGCTATTTGGACCCCACACTCCTCATGCAGCATGGGCTGCCCAGAGGGAATAGCCAGCATTTCAGCAACAGCGCCGCCCAGAGGGAACAGCCAGCATTTCAGCGTTACAGACACTCAGACATTGGGCTGCTATATATATGATGATAATCCCCTTCCCATGTGTTCCCCAAACCTACTGTGCATACGCCTGGAGAAACACAAACCACTTGGCCCCACTTAGATTCACTAGGACTAGTCTTGAATCTCTGCTACTGTCGCTTTCTACCCAGAAAAATAGGCAGAAGGGAAACATGAACTTTCTCCTGGAGGTTGTTCTGGAACTCAGTCTTTAAGCAGAGTGGAGTTCCCATCCTGCTCTGGGGCGAGTATGAAGTCCTGAAGTATGAGAGTATGAATCCCTTTCTGAGATTTGGCTTTTTTTTTTCTTGTCACTTTAATACAGTGTAAACTTCACCCTCTGCTTGCTGCTCACGCAAGAACCTCTTTCTCTGTGGCAGCCTGAAAGAGACCCCATTTCTTTTTAAACCCTGATTGGAGATGATTGTGTGAACTGGCAGCAGTTGCAGTACATGGCCATGTAAGGTACAAGCCCCTGATAAGACGATGTCTCCAGACAACCCTGTATTCTTATGTAGGCACCAGAGGGAAAATGTATCGCTGTGCTGGCCATGGCTCACAGCTCCCTGTATTAGGGACAGATAAAGTTTGCTTTGGCTCCTGGCGTGATCTAGTGTAGACATCAGGTCTGTTCTAACTTGTTGGGAAGAACTGCTGGATTATAAATTACCCAGCCTCAGTATCTCTACCCTGACATACCTCCTTTCTCTTTCTGGATTGCCTCTGTAACTGGGAAAAGTGGAGGGAGGGAACTGGCTGTCTAGTCATAAAACTCTTCTAGTTCTGGGTCTTTCATCATCAGATCTGTCTTCATTCAGGAAGTGGAGGCTGCAGTTGGCAGCCAAAAGAATAAAATGTTGATGAGAATGGGAAACACAACTGAAACTTTCTGCTTTTAAATAAATAAATAATGAACGATTATCTCTGCCTTTTTCAAAGGCTGGGAAGGAGTTCTAGTGAATTTTGAATGGGTAAGGCTCACCAAGCTGACCAGAAAATCTAAGTTCGTCCTCTATCCCAGGTTACCATGCAGTGGAACCATCAGATTTCCCCCTCTTTAGGGCCAGTAAGGGATTGACAGCAATCACACCTTAATTCAGGGAATGAAATAGAAAACAATTTTATTGCTAAAGGGAAGATGATGATAATCACCACAATAAATACAGTGGCAAGAACACCAATCACTTGGATTTCTTCCCCAGATGTCATTAAAACAATCAAATTAAAACTTATCTAAGTGTACAAAAAGTAATCATACAACAATATTTCCTACCCACAAGGTCTTAATGCCGCTAAGTCCAGATGGAGAAGGGTGGCCTCCCTTCCCTTGGTGCCTGTTTTGGCAGCCTGGTTGAAGAATTAATAATCTAGGAAGAGCTTTAAGGAGAGAGAGGTTTACACTAGGGATGTGAAGGTTTAATCAGTTAACTGGTAAGCCTCACCCTTAACAGATGAGGCTTAGCAGTTAAAATTAACTGGTGGGAGCAGGGGGCTTCTCCAACTCCTTTGGGGGGAAGGGGGAGGACCCTCTGCAGACAGGGGTTACTTTAGCCCCTGCCTGCGTCAGGCCCAGGCGCCCCGAGCAGCCCATGCCTGTGGTGGAGCCATGCCAGCCCAGCAGCGGGCAGTTGGGCTGTTCCAGCTAGGCTGGAGTACCTTCCACTCGCTTCCATTTAGTTGGTGAACCAGTTAGTCAATGAAATGGGATTTTACATTCCTAATGTCCACATAACACTGTCACCTTTGTTGACATTGTTACGGGAGAGGCTGAAACCTGAGTGTGAAGAATGCCATTCTGTAGGGTTGGTCCTGTCAGGTGAAGGTTGAAGCACATGAGCAGAACAGTGTGAGGATTATCCCATGGATGCATCGCAGATAGCAGCTATTTTCTCCAAAGCCCTGGAAAGTAAAGTGAAGTATCTGCCATTTCCTTTAATTCCAGAGCAAAACCAATAAAACGTTGGAGTAAGAATTCTTTGAGCTACATGGCAGAGCATAGCTGCTGTAGTCGGACACAAATGGGAGTTTGCGTCATATAATAAGAGCTGGATGCTGGTATTGTTTGGTAACAGGCTTGGCAGAGAATGTTAATGGAGAATTTTGCCCCAAATGTGAACATTGTTGAAAGAAATTTGCTGTCTTTGTTGTGTTTTCAGCCATGAAGCAGAGAAACCTTCGCTTTAAGACAGAGAGGGAGGTTTGCAGGAGACCCAAATATGTCTCTCCACAAGATGTGGAGAAGAGGAGAATCAGGTAAACTACAGCTACTGTACTCTATTTTGAGATATTGCATGAATACATACATATCCATTATTATGCAGTATCTTGCAGAGAGCACATGAATAGTAAGCAAAGGTTTCTTTGGAAACAGGGTCTTTCCTTTAATATGACTTTAAAGGACTTGGCACAATAAGGGCCCGGAACCGTCTGAGATGTCTAGGTGCTACTGCACTATGAATGCTAATTATAATAATTGCGAGATAGGATAGAATGTGTCTGAAAACTGATATCAATTTCAGATAGACTTCAGAAAATGTTAAAGTAAGCGAGACTTAATTTCTATATGTAATGGCCCACGTCTCTTTAGATCCTCTCTCCCCCATACAGTAGTTGGTGCCTATAAAACGCAAAAATAAACCTTTGAGCCATTGGTAATAGAAACAGCCTTTCTCACAGTTCCTTGAGTATCCTTGCCAGCCCCAACTAAAATGAGTATGGCAGTGTTTTTTAGAACTAAACAGAGTTGTGGGGAGGAGTAATTATTCATTTGAGTGGGTGTTTTTTTGTTCACACTTTCTAGTCCTACTCTAAAAATAGCTTGCTCATTGTTGTAATCAGTTAATAATTGGGCAAGCATAGACTACAAAGAGCTGCTAGGAAGGGGCAGAGCCCATGAGCAGGATTCAAGTCAGTGATTTGATGGGAAACCCAGTACTCTTTCTCACCAAGATTACTCAGATTTTTTTATTTTAATCTGGTTGGTTGGCTAGCGCTGTCTCAACCTTTGTTTTGCTAGGCTAAACAAGGCAAGCTCTTTTAGTGTCCTTTTTGTAAGTTGGGCTCTCTAGTCTCCTACCCCTCATTCTAGTAGTTTATGTCCTGTACCTGATCCAGTTTGAATTCTTCTTTCCTGGACACGAGTGACCAGAATTTAATGCAGTGTTCCAGATTATTATCCGTGCCTTGTGAAATGGCATTAACGCTTCTCTATCTCTACTGGAAATGCCTTGTCTGATGCATTTTAGGATCACATTCACTTTTTTTAAGCTGCTTTACCCTGGTGGCTTATAGTCCGTCCTGGGATCAACTAATACACCCGGATCGGTCTTCTCTGACATTCCAACTGATGAGCCCCCAGTTTATAGCAGAAATTCGTATTAGTCCCTAAGTGCATGATATTACATTTCATCCAATTTCTATTACTCCAGCCCTCTAGGTAATCCAATTCTCTAATATTTTGATCTTTCTCAGAATTGAAAATGCCTACAATTTTATGTTGTCAGCAGATTTCATTGGCACCTGCCTACTTTTTTGTGTATTTCATTAATGAAAATATGAGTAACAGCTGTGTGTTCTGCCTAACCATTCTGCAGTTTTTGTCTTGTGCCATAAATTTGTAACTGACGATCTATGCAGCAAATTGGAAATTGTCATTGTTAATGAAGTATGGTGTTTAAAAATGCCTACAATTTTATGTTGTCAGCAGATTTCATTGGCACCTGCCTACTTTTTTGTGTATTTCATTAATGAAAATATGAGTAACAGCTGTGTGTTCTGCCTAACCATTCTGCAGTTTTTGTCTTGTGCCATAAATTTGTAACTGACGATCTATGCAGCAAATTGGAAATTGTCATTGTTAATGAAGTATGGTGTTTAGG